TTATTTTAAGTGCAACTAACTTTATTTTTTACATTTTTTTATACAACAGACAAAAAGAATAGCGAGTTTTAGTCAATATTTATTAGTTATTCTCAACATAACCAAACACAACAACAACAGTTCCACGCTAGAGTGGAAATATTTTCGTATTAAGTTCACAAAACGGTTTTTAATGTCCTTTCTTGAATCCCCATTTCTTGTGGTCTTCGTGACCACCCTTCTTTCCATACTTGTCATGGTGATGATGATGGGATTCGTGTCCTCCCTTATGTTTGTGTCCTTTCTCTTCCTTATGGTGACTTCCGTGTTCGTGGTGTCCTTTCTTTCCGTAGTGGTCTTCATGATGTCCGCTCTTATGCTTGCCTCCCTTCTTGTGGCCGCCTTTCTTGTGATGTTTCTCATGGTGATATCCTCCATGTTTCTCGTGGTGCCCTGAGTCGTGATCTTCGTCGAAGAAGTGCTTCTTCTTTTCATATTCTTCTTTCTTGTGCACATCATGACCTCCTTTGGTGCTGTGACCTTTCTTGTAGCTTCCGCCTTCGTGGTATTTGTGACCCTTCTCCCCTTTGTCTCCTTTTTTGTGTTCACCATAGTATCCGTCCTTGTGGTGATGACCTTTCTTGTGTCCTCCTTTGTCGGAATAATGACCCTCGTGACTTTCTTTGTCCTGATGGCCCTTTTTGCCGTGTTCACTGTGGTGATGACCTTTGTATCCTTTGTCTCCCTTTTCGCCATGAGCGGCGTGATGGTGTGAATGATGCTTTTTGCCGCCCCCTTTGTGCCAGTGTTTGGAAGCGGCTGCCACCATGTCATCGGCGACTTGTACATCACCACTTTCGCGTTTTTCTCTGGGAATTTCGCGACATGTTGTAAGACACACCCCGACAACCAGGACAAGACCCAGGACCGCAAGTCCTCGATAAGTCATGTTAGAACGGCTATCACTACCCCTCAACACCGAATTGACGAGTGAACGAAGTTGACTGATGTCTTGTGGCGCTGCTGGGAATATTTATACTAAATCCCTAGACGTTGACGTTTTTTTGTTACGGTGAAACTGGAACGTTGAGATGTCCAATCGTCTGTAAAAAGATCTATTGTTAACAAACACTGTTTTACTTGCGGTATAGCTTTCACTCGTGCTTTTTTCGATATGATGTAACATTTTGCTAAACTTTTTAGAAATTGTATTGCTCGATCGTCAATAATAACGGCATATAATTGAATAAGGACTTCGAATGTTTAGTTGGTAGCAATGAAACAGGTTGGTCATAATGTACCAACATCGTATGAAATCAGTTTCTAAGCAAAATTCCATACAAACGCGTCGGGCCATACAGTTTTGTAATTTGTCTGATGTGCAAAAAGGAACGCCGTTCAAGAACACTTCTTAAATATTTATCGGGTATCTACCTACTTGAGTTTTTGTGATTCCTAGTTCACGGTAAAATAGGTCGACCTCGTTTTTGATTCTTGGGCTCTCATACATTGTATTTACGGTACAAGTACATGGGCGCATGGGCGTTTGCATAAAATGCATAGTGACGACTATTTAGTTTAGTATTACATGGTTAGTGGGTAACTAAAAACGACCTAAATCCTGTCGGTTTCATTTTAACGTCGGAAAATAATAATCTCATGTAAAGGCGAGATAGTTGCAATTGTTTTCATGAAATGAAAATTGAAGATTACACAGGCCAACAAAAAAAATGTTTGTAAAACCTTTTTAAACTAATTTACCTGAATCTTATGTATTTTTTAGTGCTGAAATCGTATTCGATATCAGTTTTTTTTATCACCCACAATTTTCTCACAAAATGACATTGTGTATTGTATAAATTTTTTTTAATTTGATAATTAAAAATTAAAAAATTTAGTTCTTAATAAAGTTAAAATTTTCTCTTACAAATAATAGATTACTAAATATTAGATACATGTTTTTTTGTATTTCCTCTCTCTTCTCTCTGTAAGTTTATTGCACAGCTTTTTCCCCGATGCGAAGCATTCTGTTGCTCTCTGTTAAGTGTCCAACAGTAATCACCCATCATGTTTACATTCCACCTTCCTTGGTATCGTTTCTCCATTTCTTTGATGTCCTGATGAACCGTCCCCTTGCTCTTCACTGACATCCCCTAAGTTTGTAGGAAAAAAGTCAAGATGGTTGTGCAAAAAGTGGACTTTAAGGCTCATCAGACAACCAAGATTTTTAAAATTGTTTATCATGTTAGATATGATAAGTTCATAGTTAGGATCTTTTACATTGCCCAAAAACTTCGTCACAACTTCTCTAAATGATATCCAAGCCTCTTTTTCCTTTGTACTCATCGTTGCTTCGAAGTTGGTATCGAGCATCAATTTACGAATATCAGGCCCAACGAAAATCCCTTCTTTCAGTTTAGCTTCTGATAAATGAAGAAATTTTCTACATAAATATTTAAAACAATCACCATCTTAAGGCAAAGCTATTACAAATTGTTTCATTAAACCCAACTCCATGTGTAGTGGTGGTAAAAGAATCTTTGTGGGGTCAACCAAAGTTGTATGCAAAATATTCTTCTGGCCGGGTGTCAAATTTTTTCTTAAAGGCTAAGGAAACAAAAAAATGCGCAACTTATCAGAACTACCAACCTGATTACATTTTATATTATTGTCAACACTATAACACTAGAAAATATTGCCAACATAAAAATATTTTAACGGTTAAAAATATTTGTTATACATTTTGGTTAATAAAATTTACTTTTATTTAATATTGAAATGTGAGAAAATGGAGGGTGATACGACTTTTTCGTTATTTTTTTCGGAATCAGCACACCAAATTACATAGAAATTAGTTAAAATTATTAAAAAAGTTTTTTCGTCGTTGGCCTGTGTTATTAGCATTCGATACTTAATAAAAGGTTCGGTTTATTTTTGGTTCATGTGTTATAAGGTTAACAGTTTTCTTGAAAGAAAGCGTTTTTCCGTTTTATTCCTTCATGGTGAAAAATTTAAGATATTTAAATTGTTTTCGTTAATCGCACTTTCTGTTGGTTTAGTTTCTCAATAGTCGTATTTCAGAAACCTTTTGTGTTAATTTCTTCTTGTACATGCATTAGTTTAGTACGTTATTGTATTTTAGTTGTTATTTTCTTGTTCATGAAAACATAATATACGGAAATCGTATTATACGTTTTTACGAGGAACACGTAATTGGTCATTATTAAGTAATTTATAAATGTTATCTTTATAGTGGACAAAGAACTGAATAGACGAATGGACTTGGAACTAAATGTTTGACAGTGCATATAATTAATAATTCATAATGGGCATTTACCTTTGTGTGCTTTAAATAAACACGTCTAAAATGATTTCAATTTTATTTCGATCTTTATTTGTTTATTTCCTAATTATATTATACCTACATGATTATATTTCTGAATGTCTTCGTTTTATTTAGAAATTCATTTGATGTAAATTGGTTCGCTTTAAAACAGGATGAGGCCGATATAATTTTCTGCTTTTTGAGTTTGATTTGGTGGTACCTAGTAAAGTTGTGGTATGTATTACTAAAATGGTCAGATTATTGATGGTTGCTTCCTAATACATAGCTTAACAGCAATTTGTAGGTAAAAATTGCTACTGTAGTTGCAAAGAACCTTCTGAGGTAATTCATAACACCTATTTTTTAGTCTATTTGACTTACACCACGTGGTGGTAGGTAGGTAGAGGTGCGAGGCTTTTAGAATTATTAACTTCAACTTTGTACAAAGAAGGATGGAAAAAATGGCCGAAGAACTATTAGGTAAAGACCAATTTGCGTTTAGAAGAGATATTCTAGCTTTATTAAGGTAATATTAGAGAAAAAAAGGAAAGAGTGTGTACATAGGATTCGTAGATTTAGAAAAAGCTTTTGACAATGTTAAGAGGGACAAATGTTAAATATACTTAAAAATGTAGGGATACGATACAGAGGTAGATATTAGTCAAACAAAGATGCACCGTCTCATCGCTACTTTTTAATCTATACAACAAAGATGCGATCAACCTCCTTAAAGACAGGACAACTGTAGGGGTAGATATAAAAGGGCAAAAGATTAGTATGCTTAAATTTGCAGATGATATAGCAGTATTACCATCTAGCAAGGAGACTTTAGAGATAGCCTTAATAAAATGGAAGCAGTATTGACAAAACAGGATTGAATGAAGATAATTAAAAGTAAAATAAAAATACTACGTAAGGGAAGAGAAAGTAGGGAAAGAGAGACTGAAGGTAGGAGGTGGAAAATTAGAAGAAGTGGCTGATTTTGGATAAGTAGGAAGTCAGGTAACTTAGGGTGGAAGGAACAATAGATATGTAAAAGAAAATATAGCGCAGGTTTGAGTCGCCTTTGACAAAAATAAGTCATTTCTATACTCGCGAACGGTTAATTTAGAAATTCGAAAAATATTGTTAAAGGTGTATGTTTGGATCGCGGGGCTGTACGGATACGTAAAAAAAAAGGTTAAAAACATTCATAATGTCGTGTTACAGGCAAATGAAGAGGATACCGTAGATAGAGAAGGTTAGAAATGAGAAAACATTAGAAGAAAAAGAGGTCGCTATGGAGGCAAATAAGAAATAGGGGGGTTAGGTTAGTTGAACACCCTCTCAGGTGTAAAGGGCTAGTTAGAGACATATTAGAAGCAGAATCAGGAGTTAAAAGGAGTACAGGTAGATCTATATTAGATTACTGTTCACAAGTAGTCAAGGATATGAGATATTTCAGTTTTAGGGGAAAGCTCAGGATAGGTAAAAGTGTTCAGCCAGTTTTAGGTCTGAGGACATTATGATAATTTATGATAATGAATATTTTTTTAATCAGATGTACCGATATGTAGTTTTTGTAAATATTATCTTTTTCAAAATCTTGTGCTTTAAAAATTGTTAGCAATTGAAGTTGTTGTAATAATATGTATAACATCGAAATTGAGAATTAAATGTAGGGCACGGCATTAGCAAGTCTGGCATGATGTAAAACGTAAAAACGTATGTTATATTATAAAGCTCATAATTAGAGACGCTTATTATTAATGTGTTATCTCAAATAGAAACCTACAAAATAAATAAATACAAATGTTTTAATGCTAAAGTAGGTTTATCTCATTTTCAGATATATAGAAGAAATATTTCCTAGCCTGGCTTTTCTTTTGTTGTACTCACACAAAAAAAAATGATTTCAAAGTCATATAACTCATTGATTTCTAAGGTATATTAAATGATGCTAAATCGTTCAAAACTATAATCTTTTATGTGTAATTTATTGAAGATTAAGAGACAGGTTCTCAAACTGATAGCCTAAGGATGATTACAATCATTGGGAAATAATTAGAATTTAAAAAAAAAAACATAAACATATGTAACTAATGGATTATTTGATATATGAGATTCATTATAAAATCTAAAACATAAGCCTGCAAATCAACTTACGCAAACTCTCGCACAATACACCATTGTTAACGCTAAATTAATTGTTAATTACGCCTCGGTACGGCATTGATTTTTATTCGATCATTTAATGTGAGATATCACTAGAAATCAGTAAACGATTTGACTTGACCATTTCTTCTATTTATCGCCCTCTGCATTTAAAAGCTTCGTTTTTAAAACACGGAACTTACTGATCTAAGTAATCGTGCGAAAATCAATGATCTGCTGTACACTTTGATTGTCGTAAGGTAACTATGAAATGCTTTTGTACCTCCAAACGAATTGCAAACTGTTTTCGGCAGAGTCACTCACTTATCACTTAGTTAACATAAACTTATTTGTTCTTATCTTAATTCTGTCGCTAAATTGAAAAAACTTATTCAAATAAATTAAAGAATAGTATTAATAGTTCACCTAATTATTCGCGGTAAATTTCACATGTTTTGTAGTAGATAGGAATTGTTATGACCATGTTCTCTTATTATTAGTTCCCACTCTAATTAGAGAAAAATATGCGCACCTATTATACGATGTACGTACTTAATCCTTATTGATACACAAGCTTTACTCGCGACTGAGATTTACTAGTTTACATAATTGTTATAACCAATTTAAAAAGATGCTGCAGACAATTCGCGACAACGTTCTCTTCATTAGTGTAGGCAAATTAAAGTTTAGACTATACCTGATTTTTTCATGTAAATTTGCAAAAAATTAGGTTCATCGGTAATAAACTTGTGCGTCCGCTCAAAAGTTGTGCAATTTTATTTATGAACAAATTAAGGAGGATTTTTCGATATTTTTTTTGTAACTTTTTTCTGTTGATTTTGCGAAAAAAGTTAAGTGAGAAAGTTGTTTAGAGTTTCTTTTTTATATGGGTAAGGGAGACCGAATTTTCTTCAATAGGGAAATGAAGTTATATCAAGAAAAAAGAAATTTTTTTCATGCCCACTTTTAAGATATTACATTGAAATTTCGAGAAATGGAATTAAGCCTTTTTTATAGTTATTAATCCTGCTAAAATTTTATCCCGATCAGATAAATAGGCGAGCAACAATTAATTTGTGAATTAAGAAAATAATAAATTTGATATTGCTGCCAAATACTAATCCTTAAGCCTCTATGACACGTACTCTGTAGAAAGTTAATTCTATCATATTCAATCGTTTTATTATTTAACATTGTTTTTGGNATACTTCGTTTAGTTTCTGTTACAAAACAATGTTAAGTAATGAAAAAATACATATAGAAAATATACATATAATGATTGGATATGATAGAAGTAAGCCTGCTAGTTATACTTTATGAAAACAGATCATAATGGATTAATAATTAGCGTTAGGTAGCATTATCAAATTTATATTTCTTTATTAATAAATTAATTGTTGCTCACCTATTTATGAGATGGGGGATAAAATTTTAGAAGGATTAAAAGGATAAAGAAGGCCTCTTTTCCCAATGCAGTAGCGGACGGATTTCTATCTTAATAGTGTCTACAAATGATATGAAGAAAATTTACCACTTTGAAAAATCGAATACCCTTACCCTTATAGATAAAAATAATTGTAAACAACAATCTTATTTAAATTTTTTCACTAATGTAGGGATATAACAGTAACGTTAACAGGGACCAAAAAGTGCTATTTTCGGCTAATTTATCTGAACTACACCATGCATGTGAAGCAGGATTAAAATGATTTAAATCATGATTTTAATCAATCTGATTCTTTTGAAATAAAGTTATGGTTAATTTTAGAAAATGAAGTTACTTGGACACGTTCATTCATAAAAGAAGTAAAACCCAAAAACATTTTTTTATTAATACTAGCTTTTCCCCGCGGCTTCGCTCGCAGAAATAAATTTTGTTTCTCCATAAAACCTTTTGACTCCTAATTCACCTTTACAACGTTTCAATTTTATGTATTTTATGTAATGTCGCCATCTTAGATTTCAAATAAAAAACGTAGCAACAACATTTCATCCTTAAGGGTTGATTTTTAAAAATTGCCGAAACACGTATTTGCTTAATTTCAACAATGAGCAACCTTCGAGTAAATCCGAGTACAAATAAAATATACCCCATGGAAACGTTGCAACGACTAAAAGCCATT